TCCCTACTTCTTCTCCATCGCCTCGTCCGTCCTTCGCCATCGTCCTTTCGTGGCCGTCATCCTCCATCGTCGTCGTTCTCCTCCATCTCCGTCGTTCTCCTTCACGACCACGTAAGCATCTAAGCAACCTTCTTTTTCTGTTTTTCACTTTTTTTGTTATTTATTGACTATTGTTTTGAGTTGTAAATGGTTGTGTTGTTCATGCTATGTAGAGGAAGTTGTTCATTGTTCATTGTTCAATATAATTGCAATATTAATTTTAGTAACCCGCCAACCCAACCCAACCCGCCCTAACCCGCAAGGGTTGGGTTGGGTTGGGTTATACTTTTGAATGGGTTGGGTTGGGTTGAAATTTTTCAAACCGCCGTAATTGGGTTGGGTTGAAAAAACGTCATAAACCGCCCAACCCAACCCGTGTTCACCCCTAAGTGAGTGCAACGACTCTTACCACGGTTAGTACTTACCGGGTAAATTGTTGCATACAATGTTGTTGTAGTAGACTAAAATCTTACATGACTAATAACGTGATAGTGTTGAATTTTACCGGTAAGCGCTTACCAGGTAAATATTTGGAAAAAGACCCTTAGTCATTTTTGATATCCTATAAACTTGATTTTATTCTAGTGAAATGAGCCCCATTTATCCCACCAGGAGGTGGGGTACGAGTATGGAGTGGGGTACGAGTATGAAATGTATGTAGACCTGTCAGCTAAACCGAAGAGTAAAACGGTCTTTTCATGAATAACACGACTTACTAATAAGAGTGACGAATTGCTTACCAGTGTACCCTTAACTTGAGTCGAGACATGGCCTTTTTCGCTGTCGGAAACTAGCTTCGACAACCCGAAATCTGCAACTTTTGCGGTGAGCTTTTCGTCTAAAAGAATATTGGTGGACTTGATGTCTCTATGGATTATAGGAGGATCTGCAAGCTCATGTAGATAAGCTAGTCCTCTGGCTGAACCGAGGGCGACACGAAGTCTCCTCTTCCAATCGAGATGGATTCCGGTTTTGCCTGTAATTCGTTTGTTCAAAATTCGACCATGCATTAAAATAAGTTGTTAAGAGGAAGTTAGGCATAAACTCGAAAATGATGAATGTGTACCTGACAAACTCTCTCTAAGAGTTCCGTTGGGCATAAACTCGTATACGAGCATCTGTTCGCCTTGTTCGAAACAAAACCCAACAAGGCCAACAAGGTTCTTATGATGGACTCGTGAAAGCAACTCGATTTCGGTCTTGAACTCTAGTCCGCCTTGCATGGATCCTTGCTGAGCTCTTTTGATCGCAACCATTTGCCCGCCAGGAATCACGCCCCTATAAACCTATCGAAACGAGCCCCCACAATCAACAACTTGCAACGATCAAACAGTTTAATCCGAAAAAACGGTTTCTAGAGTTGGGGTTTTGAAGGTATACATACCTTTCCATAGCCACCAGATCCTATCTGATTGATTTCAGAAAAGTTACTGGTGCTTTTCTTGAGTTCATCATATGAAAACCATCTGGCCCCCTTCAGCTGTGGTGCACCTCCACTGTCTTTAGCACTTGGAGCCCAGGATCCTATGCAAAATGAGTTGAAGTAAACCATAAGAGGTAATAATAAAATCCGGTTCATAGAATGTTAAATATATTTAAATGTCTTAATAGATTGTTTTATGAGATTAAAGTTATATGACCAAATGATTAAGCATCTGAACAAAAAATGTTGCAATAACTTAATAGCACACTTTAATTTGGGTGTTCTAGCAAGTTTGTTGTAGCTAGAAAGGCGAAAACATGGTGAAAAGCGAATCAAAAAAGTGGAAAGGATGAACAAAAGCGATCCAACAAGAAATTACCGAAAGGTTTGCTTAAACTGATTGCTTTTTCAGCTCGTTTCTTTTGTTGAACAGCATATACGACAAGCGTGATAAGGATCAGGATCAAAAGCGTGCAACCGATGGAGATCCCGATCACACCACCAACTCCAAGACCGCCTCCACGACCATCTGAGACATACATACGATCATAAGTCAAAACTTAAAACTCTCACAATTCTTGCAGTTCTTAAATGTAAACATCTAAATTCACCTGAGAACAAATATGGAGACGCGATGAAATAATACGGCCCGAACTCATCCGGAGGCTTGTAGGTTTGATTACTCAAGAAAAACCCCATCATTTGGACTTCTGTTCGCGAAAAATGCTTACCCTTTGATGGAAAGAGTTGCAAACTGACCTCAAGATAGTCGTCGATGTTAAAGAACGGATCTTGCAACGAAACCGAGCCTGGACTGAGGCCAAGTTTCGTCCAAAGGCTCGATTCTAACGAATGCCACTGGTCAGCGTTAGATAATATACGAAAAGAGGGTGCTCGAAAGTACAGAATGCCTTCATATGGGTAAGCACAATTGCATTTTCTCGGGCTTAGTTTCTGATCAGAATGACACGACTTGCCGTTACAAGCGGCCAAACTTGTGGAATATGCATTTGAGTTCCGTTGTTGAAGTTGGCAATACGTAGAGCTCTCGAGAGCAGCATCGCAGACGGGGTTCCCATGCAGTCTAGAAATATCATAAAAACGATCATCAAATAAATATCGAGTACACGGAGATCATATTTATGCTAAAACTAGACTTGGTGGTAGTTTATCGACACAAACTGTCTAAGCGCTTATTGGGCAAGATCAGTCACCACCCTCTACCCTTTTATTTATTTATGTTATATATAGAATAATACTAACACACACTTCTCATATTTGGTGAGGTTTGAACCATGGACCTCCTTGGCTCTACCGATAACCCGAGTACGAATACGAGTGGTCCAATGGCCTTTTGGTACTCTCACTTACCTTACCAGGTATTACTCTTTGGTCATCAAAATAATATAATGTAAACGTCTCCTACATAAGCGCTAACCGGATAAGAGCCACCACCCTCACTTACCGGGTAAGGTTCTCGGTTATCAAAAAATGGCACAGTAACATTATTGGTAAAAACCAGGGAAATTTACAGAAATAGCCAATCTCCCAAACTTTTCACACTTTATAACAATTTTCATAACTCAGTTCAATTCTTAGTCAATCCTTATGCAGAATTCCACTTTCCACGTAAGGATTCCACTTTTTTTTGCCGAAAACCAATTCTTATGAATATGCGTAAGCCTTCTGCGTAAGGATTGGCTATAAAGTGAAACGAGGTATGAAAATGGCTAAAAAATAATACGCTTATGTAATTTCCCTAAAAACCTTCATCTGTCATCGAATAAGCGTCTTTTACCCGGTAAGAGGCAATTAATGTTTAGTTAACCCGTAAGAAGCGGTAAACAAGCCCTTAGAAAAGTGATGATTGGAGGTAAGAATTGTTCTCACTCGAGTGTGTTTTTGTATTCGCTACTAAGTGTTACGTTGCGAATCTCATTGCTTTGCAAATCAACAAGCTGCAGCTGATCGCTGATGCTGCTGTCCATACTCAACGTATCGTTGAGATTGTTGTTTTTCAACATCCTGTTCGATTTTCATAAGATACGTGAGACCATTATATTACTCTCCAAAAAAGCGACACAAATAAACATTTATTTTGGAATAAAGTAAAATAGCAATATGGACACTCGTTTTTGGGATAGGGGGAGTATCTTTTTCCCTAGAACGTAAGGAGTAGCACGAACTAAATCTTACACTTGTTGAATTCCCGATAAGCTGAAAAGGGCTTGTGGTAGCTTTCCTGTAAGCGCTCCGAATTCCATCATACTAAGCACAACAAAAAAAGTTTCATCGTAAGTTAGATTTTCACGAGGAAAAGAATTAAACCCGCTACTTATTGGGAATCGAAACTTACAGTGTGCCTAAAGACGGTAATGTAGAAAACCATGTCGGAGGGCTAGATTCTTGAAACGAATTGTTGCTCAAGTCCCTGAACAAGAAATCTCGTAAAACTTTAAATTGCCAGTAATCTAACACGAAAATTTCAAAGCACGTCGGAAGATGTTCAGTTAAGATAATTCACTTACACATATGTGAGGGCATTCATCCCATTTAGATCAGGCAAAGCTCCTGATAGATTGTTGTGTCCTAAATTTCTATGTATAGACAAGCAAGAACGGAAAAGTCAAAGTCAACCATCGATCACCGGTGAGATGATCTTCTTATAACGATACAAAGATCACTGCAACAAAAAATGGACCGTTTAAGACGGCCAACTGTCCATGTGCGTCCTAATAGAGTACTAAATGAGACTTTAGTTTTATTGGTACAAAAAACTGTGCGTTCTATAAGAAAACGTTACAATAAGTTGTTAGAATGAAGTTAGATGACCTGACAAGACTATCAACAGAGTTGGATAACTTAATAGGAATATGCATTTTAACCTTTTTATATTAGACACTTTTCATAAGTGCTTGTTTAGCGTTTTTATAAAACTTGTTGTACACAAAGCCTTTAAAAAATGTCATATAAAAAAGTTAATAAGATGATTTACTTGTTAAGTCATCTAACTTCATGTCAATAACTTATAGTAACGGCTTCGTCGTGAGATAGTTCGGTTCGTATATACCGTTGGTGTTAAAGGGAGAACGCATATACGCAGTTAGTAGTCTTACAAAAATGGTCCCATTAAGTATTGTATTATGATGACCAAGGACCGTTGAGCGTCATAAAAGACCCTTTTATTGCAGTGGAAGTACTCACAATTCACCGAGGCGTGTGAGGTTGTTCAGGTTCGATGGCACCTCGCCTTCCAAGTTGTTTCTATCAAGTCGACTATTGCAATTGAAGCACGAACACGATGAAAAGTTATATCTGATACGATAAATACTTTTAACTTATAATTACATGAAGATTAAGTTGCCATATACTTACAGAACCTCTAATGTTTGGACATATCCAATCGTAATCGGGATTTCTCCCGTTAACCGATTCCCGTCAAATAGTCTGTACTTGCAAGATGGCGATCGTTCATTCAGAATGGGTTTAACCAAACACTACAACAAATCTGGTTTATATGATATCATGTCTAAGTTTCTTAATAGAATAGTTTTATAGGACATAGGTTAATAAAAGCAAACAATTGTACGTCCTATGTAAAAAGATTATAATAAGTTTATATGACATTTTTGAATGTTTTAACACGGTTTTTGGAACACCTTTGAAATAAAACGTTCTATTAATTTTTTTGGATGATATTATTTTCAAAAAGAAAATGTCTTATAAAAACAAGTGTTCTGTAAAAAGACGTGCACATATACTGCTTCTACGAAGTGTCCTTTAAAAAAGCTAATACGACATTTTATCTTAAAAGCATCCATGAAAAACTTGTTTAAACACCGAAAATGTTCTATAAACTTATTGCAACACTTTCATATAAAATGTACAATTGTTTTTCTATATAAACTTAAGTCTTATAAAACAATGTATTAAGATATTTAGACATTTTTAACATCTTATACTGATTTTATTATCGCTAAATATCCGGAAGAGAATGGTATTTGACTTACACATGTAACAGAACCATATCGGAGCTGAAAAGTTGAGACGAGATTCCCCCCGATAGCTTGTTCTTATTGAAATGGCTGCAATTTACAATGATCACACGGACGTCCGCAAGGTGATTCAAGAAAGAGTGAATATTAAACCACTTACAAATGCTTAGCATGTTTTAGCTTATCCAAGCCCGATTGCGTGAGACTTGAAATCGGCAACGATCCTGTCAACTGATTCTCCGCGAGGTCTAACCAGTAAAGGTTCGATAAGTATCCCAAAGATGGAGGGATTTCTCCCGTCAAGTTGTTTGTGTTCAACGCCCTATCCATCATTGACCGTATTATTTCCGTTATGAAAAAGATTTAGGCGATCTGGAAGCAGTTATTGTATCAAATGAAGACTTAAAGATCGATGGAGATTCTTACAAAAACGATAGTTCCTTGAGGTTTCCCAATTCGGGTGGAATGTTACCTCTGAAGCTACAGCCAGATAGAATCCTGAAACCCGAATTTTAAACCAGTTTTCAGTAATGTCCCGTTCTCTAAATGTGCGAGTACATTCGAACTCATTCCATTAATCTCCAAACACTACAACAAAATCGGATTTTATAGGACATCAAAAATATCTAAGTGTCCTAATAAACTGCTTTACAGGACAAACAATTGTGCGTCTTATGTGAAAGCGTTGCAATAAGTTTAAAGTGCACTTTTGGGTAATTAAATATAAAGTATCGTCTTAGCTTTTTGAAAAATGTCCTATAAACATATATATCTTTTACAAGACACTTTTTTATTTCAAAAACTATCCTAAAAAACTTGTTAAGAAAAACATCCTATAAACTTATTGCAACACTTTTATAGATGTTTATAAAACGTACAACTGTTTGGTCCTATAAACTTGACTCATATAAGTCACTTTATTTGCACACTTAGACATTTTTGCCTTCCTATAAACTCGATTTTTGATGTAGTGAAAAACGCCCAGGTTCTAACATATATTGAGCAGAAATAATCGTAAACTCACAATGTATTGAGCTTTTTTAGATCTCCTATCTGCGGAGAGATTGGACCTGTTAGGCCACCATTAAAAGATAAGTCCCTACCATAAACATCGAGATCTCGTCAGATGTTTTGAATATAGACATCTTTGATATGTAATAAGAATCAGATAAGTACATAACATCTGAATCAGATTAAGTTTGGAGGAACTCACAAAGATGTTAGTTCAGTGAGTCCACCAATGTCTCCAACGAGCTGACCTACTAAGTTCATACTCGACAAGCCCCTGCAAAAGAGCGGTTCGATCATCAAAGAAGAGTCGTTAGCCGTGGGCTTACTTGTTTATGATCAAAATGATAGAAACAAGAAAAGGGAATTATAGACCGACAGCGCTAAGACCCTCGTATCGGTGCAGTTGACCCCTTCCCATGAACATGGATCGCTCGACCTTTTCCAGCTTGGTGGCGTATTTTGCCATTGGTTTTTCAACGCTTGAAGTGCCTCCGCTGCGCAGCAACGAACAATTTGTTAAAATGGTCGCCAGATACTTAGTTAAAGTTTAAACCACTTCAATAAAATCGGGTTTATTGGACGCAGAAAGATATTAAGTAATCTAATAGATTGTTTTATAAGACTTACGTTTATAGGATAAAACAATAATGCATCTTATGTAAAAGTGTTTTATAGGACCTTTTAGCATTTTTAGAACACTTTTTGAAGTAAAGTAATGGATTAGGTTTTTCATTTTTGAGAACTCTTCTATCGAATCGTTTTACAAGACGCTTGTTTTTATAAGATGTTTTTTATAATAATGTCATATCAACAAAATTGATAGAAACTTTATTTCAAAAATGTCATAAAAAACTTGTTAAAAAAACGCTTTTACATTGGACAAATCAATCGTTTGGTTCAGTTCTATAAAGAAGTTTATTAGGACATATCCTACAATCTTATTTTGTTGTAGTAAACCACATATCATCTGATCAAACAACCGCTCTCTACTCTATAGGATAGCGAACATGTCTGCGTAGATCTTACACCTTACTTTCGAGTGGGATTTACTAGTCCGTTTAGTTTGGTTTTATAAGCAAATCGCTTACCGTCACCAGGATGAGTATCCGCTACGATCGCCTGAACTTCCACCATTAGAATCAGCAAAAAACTCCGTAACAGCCGCCATACGGAGACTTCCATGACCGAAAACACACGATCACAGCCACCACTCGACAATCCAATTCTAACCCACCAGCACCACCACTGCTGCCACTACCACCACCGGTTTTAACAATGACTTCTTGGTATTTGCGATTCCATGGTCAGTAAATCCTTTCTTTTGGCCAAAGATTTTGTCTTAAAATGATTAGGGTTTTGGTTGGGTTAGATTAAAAGGCATGCAAATATATATATATATATATATATATGTGTGTGTGTGTGTATAACAGTATCTACCAACTAAATTGCGAAGAAGAAGATGATTATGATGATGATGAATGAGAGTGAATATTAATTGCCACCATTTTAAGTTCGATCATATGATGGACAGATGGAAAGAGTTGCTGGTTGCTCCGCCCGACCAACATAAATCTCAAGAAACATTTTGTTTTTAAGAATCTTTTGAGGGCCGACCGAAAAAAACGTTGTAGTTTTTTTTGTCTTTTTCTTCTTTGGATCAGCATTTAAAGAGGCTTCATTGATTTGAAACATGATGGCTTTATCCTCCCATTTTGGAACCTATGATAATATTTATGACAATTTTTAAAAGTAAGCGTGTTAGAAACAGGGATTTGGAGACGATAATAGGGCTGGATAATATCTTAGTATCGTGTAGAGAACACTTTTCGAATACATTAATTTGTCTTTTATAGCTTTGGGTTCACGAATTTAGTATTGAGATAATCCTAGAGAAAAATCTCTCTTTCAAAAGTTGTGAAATCAAGATCTATATATACCCTAAATTCTCTTTTACACATTTTTATGAGAGATTGACATATACGGGTGGTTAAACGGTTACAACAGTGAATGGATAAAATTGGATAACAATTACAACAGAATCAAAGCTCCCAGAATCAGAAGTCTGACTCCAAGTCTAAGTCTCGATGCACTAATACGAACTCTAAAACTCTGAACTGAACTCTAACTCTGCAATTCGGAGTTTCAAAGTGGGTCAGTATTCCAAGTATGGATACAAAACCAGAAATCTGACTCTATAGTTCAAAGTTCCAGGCTTACTTAATTACAACGATAAATCTAAACTCTCATTAAAAGGATTAGATCTCTGATCACACTACCTCAAACTTATACTTAGTGAAATTTTCACTAAGTTCGACTCTTGAACCACCACCAAGGGGAACAACCCCTTGGAACCCCGCTAGGGGCGTAACCCCCTTACTTCACACCTTATGGTGACTTAAGTTGATAGGGGCAACATCTGTGATTGTACGCTTCACACCTCCTAACTCCTTATGTTTGTTTTATCACTCTAATCGGTCTCGAGAAAATTACAATCACACCAAAATGATTGATCAACTAAAATCACCAACAACGTGTTTATTTTTCAATTTTATTTTTTTGATAACAAGATGGAGAAATTCATTAATCTCTTTATTATTAAAGATAAAATTGACATTTGGTTAATTAAAAAATGTAATAATTACATATTTTTATATTTGTGTGATTTTTTTATTGTAAACATTTGTTTTTGGATAAAAATGTGTAATCTAATAAAAATAATAATAAGTTTCGACATATAAAGAGTGAAAATATGTGGAATTCAATTAGAGTACTCTTCAAAAGAGTTATTGAAGAATTAATAGAGATTTCATCATATATAAAGGAGAAATGATTTAATGCTAGCCGATGTGGGACTCCAACATCCCCCCCCCCCCCCNCCCCCCCCAACGGGCACAAATTGTCCCACAGTGTTGAGAGAGGGCTAGATGAGTACAAATTGTCCAAGAGTCTCAAGTTTCTAGAGTGGTAGACTTTGATTCTAATACCATATGAGAATAAGAGAAACCTTATTAAATTACTCTCCAAAAACCCCTTCAAGATAGATGAGATGTTTCAACATATATAGAAGAGAAATGGTCTATGTTGTTTACCCAGATGATTATAAGAAACAATGAAATAACATTGTTGGTCCCAGCCGGATTTACAAGAGTATATAGATAACAGTTTGTAGAGAGGGGGTGAATACAAACACGGAAAATTTCACTTTTAAATTTATATATTGATAAAGAATGATCAATATAAATTTTATAGATTGTTTGCAGAAAAGATAAGGTAAAGAAAAACCTATATAAATAATCTAGAGGTACAAACAAATACACTTAGCAAATAGAAAAGATTTGTTGTAATAAATTAAGACTTGACTTGCTTGAAGTGGTTCTTTGTCTTTAGAGAGAGAGAGAGGTAGAGGTTTCTTTTTGGGTATGCTTCTTAGAATGAGAAAGACAAATTCTAATTGCTTGTTTTACTGAGTGGAGATCATTCATCTATTTATACCCATTACATTAAATGCAATTCAGAAGGTACACAAAACGTGTTAAGCTTTTAGAGAAAAGTTTGTCCTTTGCTACAGTGAATAGTCATTTTGTCTATTCATGAGCAGACATCTTTTTATATTGTTGGTGTAACACCCCCAAACACCACATTTGCATATAACACATATTTCATTACATAGAAATATAATTTACAACATGAGGTCCCACTAGTACAAGGATTCTTATATGTACAAAATCTACATATGAAAAATTCCAAAACGAATCTTGTACTAACATATGTAATACAACATATATCTTCAAAGTAAGTCATCAAAAGCAGATCTTCAAAAACAGATAACAGGTTAAGAAAATAATCACATTTTCGCTTTTCCCTTATTATCCCTGGACCCCGTCATTCCTGCACCGCATATTTTAAAGACAGAAAATGAGGGTTAGACCAGTAGGGTCTAGTGAGTAAATCCCTTCCTTGCAAATGCAGGGTGATGAAAACCAAAATATGATAAAGTAACTTTGCTTAGAAATATTTTGCAATACAAACAAATGATGCAGTTCACAATAACATGTAAAATAGGATATACCCAAGAACCTCAGTTTTATAAAATATCTCTGCTTAAAGATCCAACGTTTCCAATATGAAACAAATATTTTAACCAAAACTTCTTGAATCATTAGACCATTCCTTTGTAAATATTAATAGAAAAGATTTACGGCAATACTTGCTTGTTATGACAAACTATTTTCCCCTTCTCAATAACATCTAAATTATTATTTCTAATAGGAATAATATCTTTAATTCATCAGGTCACAAATAAATGATGACTCAAAGTTATTAAATCCAATTAGTAACAATAATAAGAGTTATAATATTATCCACATATGACAATGCCACCCTTATTCCAAATACACCTTTCCTTGATATGTCATCCTTATTCCTCTATCAAAACATGGCTCATTATCACAACAGACATAAGTCACCACGTTTGAATGTACCCATTCCCAGTTTCAAGCCAGAACAGACAAAAGTCACCACGTCTGGGGGAACTACCACTTAAAACCAGTTYMTACCAAAACAAACTTACGTCACCACGCTTGGTAGAAACAGTTTTACAAAATCCACTTTCACACCAAAACAGACTTATGTCACCCCGCTTGGTAGGAAGGTTTCCCAAAATATAGTTTTATACCAAAACAGACTTACGTCACTATGCTTGGTAGAAACATTTTCCCAAATCCAATTTCATACCAAAACAGACTTACGTCACCACACTTGGTAGGAACATATATTTTTATTTAAAAAGATATAAAATACCCTTTTATAAATCCATAATTAAACCCAATAATAAACATTTTTAAATTACATAAATGTCTTAGAATATTAAACACTTAAAATTATCAAATATAAGTTATCTGGACAAGTTATCCGGATATACAATCCGGACAACACTTGTCCCTTTTGTCCGATTTACTAATCCAGACAACCCTTGGTCGATTAAGACTAAATCACATGACTCATGTCCGGTATAACGCAATCCGGACAACACATGATTGATTTAAAACTAAACCGCTAAATACTTGATCGGTTTATAACTAGTCTGCACAACCCTTAGGCGATTTAAGACTAAACCGCACAACCCTTGGTCGTATTCCTACTTCTTCGTTCAAAACCTTTGTCCGATTTACATAATTCAAAATCTCACTAACTCCCTAAATCGCATGACTCTTGAGCGATTTACAACTAAGTCGGTCACCTCTTATCCGGTTTAAGAGTAATCCGGACAAGCTTTGTCCGATTTATACTTAGTCCGATTACCCTTTGTCCGAATAAAGATCCTTAATTAAAATACTGATTTTTTTCCAATAATAAATAGCATTCAAGTAAACCAGTAACGAATTTTATGCAAAAAGGTTTAAAAATCACTCACCTTAAGTACAAACTCAGATTTTGAAGAAGATTGCTAAACTCCTCTTGGATAATCGGACAACTCTTTTCAAGATCACTCACAGGATTTCAAAAATGGCAAGGGAATGAAATGAAGGTCAAACTCTTCCTTTTATACCCTTCTAAAACAGGAAAGGTCGGCCATCCAGGCCCTCACCCACATGCATGCATGTACACATAACATTTCTTACATACATACACACATAAGCTTATGCATACTCCTCATGCATACACACTTCACATATATATTTTATACACATATGTATATATATATATATATATCTACATATTATGCATATATCCTTATACATAAAAATACACATACTCACATATATAACCCATGTAAGCATGTATCCACATAAACAATTAATTCACATAATCAATACCTTGGGTAATAACCAGAACCTGGTTATCACATTATCCACCCCTTCAAAAGAATTTCGTCCCGAAATTCCTTTAATTAAAGAGCCATGGATAATCTACTCTCATTTCTGATTCGAGTTCCCAAGTTGCTTCTGGTCATTTGTGAAACTTCCAATGTACTTTAACTAGACTGATATCTTTGTTTCTCAACACCCTAATCTTTCGGTCAATTACGGCTTCTTGCATTTCCACAAAGTTCAGTTTACTGTCCAGTTTGACCTCTGGTAATGGTATAGCGAGACTTGGATCAGCTAAACATTTCCGTAAATTCAAAACATGGAAAGTGTTGTGAATCAGACTAAGTTCTTCTGGTTGTTCTAACTGGTACG